TGTCCAGCGCAGCTTCAGCAGTTTGCACTCCCACCTTCCACTTTGCTAACAGCTTCATGTTTCATGGGGGTCATCTTCGCATCTTCCCGCTGAAGTGTTAGGTTCGGGATGTCCGCAAGAACGAGGAAGGCCAGGGCCAGCCGGGGCAACTGGGTGAACGGGGCCCTAAGGGTTGGGCCTCAAGGAGCAGCCCAAGACGCATCAGGAGGCTGAGTCGGCGGGGTCCCGCGGAGACCAGAGCGCGCAGCGTCTCACCTAGACCGTCACTGAATGGTGTGGGTACAGGCTTCTCCAATGGTGATGATGCGCATGACCACACATGACCTGGTGAACAGGTGCATCCGACTGTCACAAGGTGATGCAGGTGCATCTCACTGTCACCTGTCACGAGGTGATGCCTCTTTAGTTCTGGTGTCTGGAACGTTGGCGTGCTTCAGACAGCCCTTACATTCTTTCCTACTATAATTTTCAAAGACACCTGAGTGTCACCTGTCGGCTCGGGAACCGGGTCCTGTCCTTCACACCCCTCCCTTCATGCGTTTTCAGTGGGACAACAGTGGATTGGCAGGTCTCCTATGTGTTCACCTCCTTCAGAGAAGGAGCCTTACCTGCTTCTCATCAACCACTGGATCCCAGCATCTCATGGAGCCAGGTACACAGCAGGCTCGCAGTAAACATATGTGGATTCAATTCATGGATTAAATTAATTTATTTCCAATCTTCACAATCGTTCCCCTGAACATCAGTTCCCATTGGAAGATTGAGCAGACAAGAATATACAGACTGCCTACATTGGGGTACCTGGCTGGATCAGTCGGTAGAGCATGTGACTCTGGATCTCGGGGTTGGGAGTTCAAGCCCCACATCGGGTGTAGAGTCTGCTTAAAAAACAAACATAGATTGGGGCACCTGGGTGTCTCGGCTGAACGTCTGACTTGGGCTCAGGTCATGATCTCACAGTTTGTGAGTTCAAGCCCCGCATCGGGCTCTGTGCTGACAGCTCAGAGCCTGGAGCCTGCTTCAGATTCTGTGTCTCCCTCTCTCTCTGCCCCTCCCCTGCTCATGCTCTGTCTCTCTCTGTCTCAAAAATAAATATAAACATTAAAAAAATTTTAAAAATAGGGCGCCTGGGTGGCTCGGTCAGTTGGGCGTCCAACTTCGGCTCATGTCATGATCTTACGGCTCGTGGGTTTGAGCCCCACATCGGGCTTTGTGCTGACAGCTCAGAGCCTGGAGCCTGCTTCAGATTCTGTGTCTCCCTCTCTGCCCCTTCCCCACTTGTGCTCTGTCTCTAAAAAATAAACATTACAAAAAAAAAAGTAGATCGACTGAATTAATATCGCCCTCAGGACATACTTAGGATGTTCTTGGTTTTTTTCTTTATCTTTTTCAAAGCCCTGATGTCATTGTGGGGAGTTACTCATTCTTCATTCATTTAATAGATATTGATCGAGTGGACAAAGTGAGGAACTGCAGATGAAACAGTAAGCAAGTCACCTGACCTTGCACGGGGAGGGGCAGGCCACAGCCCGATACGAATCAGATGCATAACAGGTGAAGTGCAGAGAAACACCTCAGAGAACACCCAAGCAGGTCGGGCCAGGGGAGCAGGTGCTGGGAGCACCCAGGAGAAGGATGAGCCAGGACCGTCAACACGGCGCCCAGCCGCTCGCCCGGCCTCCTTCAGCGCTGCTTGCTCGTTGGGGTTTCGCTCTTCTCCAAAAGTCAAGAGGAGGAAGGACGTCCCCTGAGTTGTCGGGTCAAGGGCATGAGCCCAGCGTTTGAGGCTTCGTGCAGCCGGGGAGAGGTGGGGCCGCAGCTGGGAGGGAGCGGGGGCAGCCCAGGACTGGAGGGCGTCCCCAAGGAGCGCGTGCAGTGGCTGCCGCCTCGCGTGGCCCCTGGAGCCCACGTCACTGGTCACGCTTCCCTGATGTGTCCAGGTCAACGCTGGCCCCAGAGGAGCTCACGAGTTAACACGTCTGTTTCCAGGCGAATAAACAATAACAGTCATGCCGGTACAGAAACAAAAGTAATGTGTTCGTGCAAACACACGTGACGGAGGCTCAGCAAACTTGAGGCCCGTGTGCGTTGAGCCCTGAGGAACAGGGCTCGTGCTGTTACTTCTGCTTGGTTCTCGCCAACGCGGAAGTGACTGGAAAAGCCGGACGCGTCCTCAGGTGGTTGGGCATGTTGTTGAGAATCAAACTCTTGCCTGAAGCAGAACATCCTAGTGCCAGGAGGCTCGCCGGCCGCCGTGCACGGAGAGGGAGAGGCACCCCGTCATGGCGGGGTGTCCGGGGCTCACAGAGCAGAGACACCCACAGAAGAGCCCCAACCCCGCTGCTCGGAAGCTTCGGGCAAGTTGCCCGACCTCAGGGCCTTCGCATCTGCTGCTTCCTCTGCCCGTGACACTCTGTCGCGAACACGCACTTGGGCCCAACGCTGTGCTCCACCAGGGCCTTGTCTCTGTTAGATGGGAAACCAGCCTCAGGCTTCCTGGCCTCGTTCTCCAACAAGCTCTTCTCACTACCTGACATCCTGCGTCTTTGATTTGATCAGGCATGCTCTCCGTCTGGTACAGTGTAGACCCTGTGAGGGCTGGGACACGCATGTTTGTTTGCCAGAGCACCCGGGGCCATGTCATAGTCACTGCAGAGCACAGCAAGGACCCCAGCCAGTGGGTGCAGTCCTGCCTGCGTGCCCTGGCCGGCCGGCTCCTGCTAAGCTCCTGGGGAGGACGGGGGGCTGATGCCCTCACACAGGACGAAGGCCCTGGTGCCTCTCACCCAGGGACTGCAGGTGCTACGTTAACTGACCTCTGTGTCCCATCTTAAGGGGCCAATGGCTCAGACACACTCCCAGGACTTCAAAGCAAGCCCCTTGTCCCCTAATGACCTATAACCTCAAACTTCATAGGTACTGACGGGCTGTCGGAGCCACGTGCCTCTACAACTTGCATGGCAGTGTCTGGCCTTGGTCTGTGGGACACCAGAGGCTTTTTGAGGGGAAAGTAACAGAGAGCAACCCTCAGGCTCCTGGACACATACTACAAAAAATTAAGAACACATTTCCTTTTTTATTGTGGCAAAATATACATGACAAACCCTAAGTCGAACCACGTTTAAGTTACAGATCAGGGCGTCAAGTGCACGTCCCTACACAGCCACCACCTCTGTCTGCGGAACTTTCTCGTCTTGCGGACTGGGTCTCTGCACCCACTAGACACGGCTCCCCAGCCCGCCTGCCAGCCCCCAGCGCCCACCGTCCGACTTTCCGTGTCGGGGTCTCTTGGGGGTGTCTGTCCTTCTGTGTCTGGCTCATCTCAATGTGCCCAAGCTTCACCCATGTTGTAGCAGGTGCAGGAATTTCCTGACTTGTTAAGGCTGAGTAATTCCGTCGTGTGGATGCAGACTGCTGTGTCCATCCACGCAGGGCCAACACTCACTTGGGTTCTTCCATCTTTTGGCTGTTGGGGAAAACACTGCTAATTGTGTGAGTGTGCAGGCACGACTCAGCTCCCCTGTGAAGCCCGTGTTCTCGGCTGGGTGTGGACGTTGGGTCCTTCCTCATAACCACAGGGAGGTGAGCTTCGTCCCGCACGTCCGACCCGCTGGGCCCAGCGCTGCGTCATGGCAGGAGGCGCTGCTCTCTGCAGGGACATCCGGGGCCCCGAAGAGCAAGCTTCACACCATGTGTTTGGAAAGGCAGCCCCTGGGAAGGGGTGGTGGCTCCTGGGGTTGCCGGTGGCCTGGGCCCTGCCCCCATTCTGCGTGTGATGACGACAAGCCGGGGTCGGCCAGAGCCTCTGTCGGGCGCCCACATCCGCTTGGGATGTGAAGATGGCCCACCACACGCAGCCCGGCTCTCGGGGAGAAGGGGTGCCTCCCCCACGGGTGGCCGGCTGGCAGGGCAGGAGGGGTGCGCTGGGTTTTCGTCTCTGGGCGTCTCCCCCTTCTTTCCTCCGGGCCTAACACAGTCGAGAGCAAAACGTCCATCACGTCCCAGCAGGTGGCCTCGGGTGCGCCTGTGGGCTTCACCGCCCTCGGTGACACCCAGGGACCCAGGCCGACCTCCAGGATTCCATCTTCTCTCATCTCGCCGGGCCGCGTGGTTTCAGACGCGGCAGCCTAGACGTGCGGCCTGCCGCCGCCGCGATCCATTACGCTGTCAGCCAGGCGGGGGCCTCAGTGCGGGCCAAGTGTCAACAGAAGGTGAGGAAGGAAATCAGCCACAATCTAAGGCTAATTACCCTGCCTAGAAGTTAATTAAATGCTTGTTAAGAGCAGCAGGGTAGATCCCAATTCAACTTGTCTAATAACAGTCCCCTGACGTTCCCGGACACTGGGATTCGTACCGGGCTTCAATAACTCTGCCGAGGGCAATAATATCCTGTCACGTCTCAGAGTCGGGTGGCCTCCACGACGCACGGGCCTTGGTATTTTCTGCACTAATTTGCCACATATCGGGCACTTCGTATGTGTTTAATTTACACACGTTTTAATTTAGGGGACCCTGGATTGTTCCAATGATTTTGTCATTTCTCCCTTTTTCCAAGAGGAAAAGAAAAGGAACAAAAAAATAGCCCACGAGCTGCAGAAGCGGTCAGCAGCACTATTTTGTATGATTTGGGGTAATGACCATGATTAATGCTTGTTTATTGTTATATCTCTTGTGTTATGTAAATAAAGCTGTGGCCTTCTCCTTCCAATTTCAGGGTGGTGCGGCTGCTTTCATTTGGAAGCGAGCAGAGGGGGGGGCGGGGAGAGCCCTGCCAGCCCGCGGGTGCACTCCGAGCCTCCGCCCGGCGGTGCCCACCCCGGAGCCACCAGCCCGAGTGGGGGGAGCCGGTGCCACCCGGACCAGGCCTCCCTCCCCCATCCTCTCCCAGGGACGCGGCCTCTGCCAAGGCTCGCAGGGGAGTGGGAGCCGCCACCCCCAAATGAGGCCCTGCATGTGGAAGCCAGCTGGCAGGAAGTGGGGGTCAGCAGGGGAGCCGCAGGCCCCAGACTGGCAGCCACGAGGTCCTTCCCTGTGTCCTTCCGGCCCCCACGGGAGAGGAGTGGCAGGCACGGAAAGAGAAGTTCGCGGCGGTGGTGTCTGGGATGGTTCGGGGACTGAGGAGGGCGGGAGAGGAGGTCTGCCGTCCCCTGTCCCTGCCGGCACTTGGGATCAGACACAGTTGTGTTCAGGCAGAATGACAGCGCCACAAAGGAGTTTCCGGTAAATGCAGGTTTGGGGTTGCTTGTTGTCTTTGTAAGAAACACGTTAATGCCTCTTAACCGGATCCTGACTTGTGACCAGGTTCTGCTGTCCAGCCAGTGAGTGGTGGTGCCGTCCGCGTGAGCCACCCTCCAGCGTGCTGGCCGCGTCTCTGGAAAAGGACGCCGGTGACAAACGTGGTTGCTGACAGAGCAGGCTTTGTCCAGGGCGGCCGGGAGGCTGCGTGCCAGGCGTAGGGGAGACTCAAAGTGGGATCGTTGCTTCCTCACAACGTGGGCATGCTCGGTTGTCCTCCAGAAGCCCAGGTGTGGGTGTGCGAGGGCACCGCATCTACCCGCTCGCTTCTGCACACGGGGCCACCGCACAGCCCGGCCAGGCTGTGCCCTGACCTGCCGGCCTGTCCGCGTTCCTCAGGAGATGGGGTGGTGAAAGGGTTAATCGAGAGCCCCCCCTTGCATTTACACCTCCTCTCCAAACAGCATGAATTAATGAAAAGATGTAAGCACTCAGATCTTTGCTGGCAAGAATGCTTGTTGAAATAATCAATTAACCTTGGAAGATCCAATTGACAGGGCTTAAGTGCAAAGTTATTTAAGATGCCAGATTATCTAGCCAGATGATTGCATTCGCTGCGACGCAAGAAGGCGGCAAGAATGCTTCTGAGAAATTTCAAGGCTCCAGAAAGATTTAACGTTATTTCCCCACAGAATTAATCTGCCCATTAGAACATGCTTTAACCTCTCACAAGTAATATCCTGGGATGACTTTAATTTACCTTCTTCCTTCTTTGATACGGTGAAAAATGACCCCAAGACAGCAAACATATAGATCCGTTTCACACTTTGGCTTTCCTTCCTTTTAAAATTGTTTTTGAAATGAACGAAATCTCAATCTATATCCACCTTTATTTTAATCCAGAGATTCTAAATCCACAGACGCACCCGCTGGATGTCCCTCACTCGGCAGGATGCGATGCTGACTGTCATCGAATAGAGACGAGAGCGTCTCACTCGGGCAGTGCCTCTGTGATGAAACTCTCATCGTACGAGCCCCGCACGCAGCCTTGGGGTGGGGGGCCCTCAGCACGTGGCATCAGCGGGTACGTGTGACATGTGACCGACCGTGGCCAAGTAGTGCCGGGGACGTCAGCTCTGCAGGGCAAGGGGCAAAGGTGGTTTCCTTTTGGATTTGTCCTGCTAAGCGATACGAGATGAGCGGTTGGTTGTGCACGGATCGTGACTTACTCCACGCTAAGGAGCCATTCACAAGATGCGAGTGTTGCTATAATTTGGAGGAGTCGCTGCAGAAGCGAGCGTAATTCCGACTCTGTGTTCCCCGACCCTGGCTAGCTCCATGACAGTTTTTGTTTCCTATGAAAGCAGCCTGCTTATTGGTAATTCCTTTAAATAAAGGAATTATTTTCCCAAGCAATTTGTTTTGATTGTGCTACGTTCTAGTTCGGCCTCCTCTGCTGCGATGAAAGAAAAAGAGCTAATCTGGCTGGTTTACGATCTTGCTGCAAATAAAAGACAAGTGGGAAATGAAATTTTTGAAAAGCTAAACTCCTAATTTTTGTGACAAAATGTGAATGAAAATGATGAATTTATTCATAAGAGATGGGAATTTTGAAATGAATGATTTACGGGTATAAGCATTAAATATATTAATTTAGGACGGAGGCAGCAGATGTAAATGTTATTCGGTGGCCGAGTGCAAAGGACGAGGTGTAGACAGTGCGCGTAGTCACGCTGTTTGGGGGAGCGTGAATCCCAGAGCCCAGGGAATGAAAAGAACCGGTGGGTGGTGGGGCTGGTGCAACACAGCTGAGTGTTTGTGTCCATCTTGACGGCCCCGAGTTCGTGAACGCACCCATGAACTACCCTTTGAGCCCTACGGGGCTCAGCGGCTTGGCATTCTTTAAGAGTACGTGACTAGCTCTAACTCTGGACATCAGTCTCCACATTATTGACGTTGGGGGTCCGATCATTCTTTGTTCTGGAGGTGGGGTGCCTTACAGGATGTTCAGCAGTATCCCTAGCCTCTACCCACTAGATGCCGGGAGCACCTCCCTGGCCCCACGGTTGGGACAATCAGGTTACCTCCAGATGTTAGCAAATCTCTTAGTCCCTAAGAGAAAAATAGCCCCCAACCAGGAAGCCCTGCTGTAACCTGATGGCCCACGGCCCCGTGAACCTTGTGCTCAGGCCTCGGCAGAGACAGGGGTGCCTCGAGGCTAAGGACACATAAGGCTCAGGACCCCTCACTTCCACAGGCCCTTAGAAGGCTCCATACCTAATTTTGTATTTATAACTCAAAGTTTGCAATTTTTCACATCTTTATTAAAGAAGACACCCCAAGTTCAAAAACTTTAGGCTCCATAAAACCTGGGCCTGCGCCTAGGTCTCAGTTGATAGTAATCAACTTATTTTATAGAACCCAAATCTGTTCAAAATGGCCTCCTACTTCTTTTCATATCGGTCAGTTTGTTTGTCCCTTCAGTTAATGAGAGCGTCCCCATCCGAACTCAATATCCCCGGCCTCGTGGAGCCTGATGAGGTTTTGAGCAAAACAATTCAGGCTCCCCTGACATGCTCCACCCCCTCGTGCCTGGAGAAAACTTTCACAATCGAGGAAGCCACAGGCCCGTTTTCATCGCCTGAGGATTCCACGCAAATGTAGGTCACCAACTAAAAGTTCTAATGATTTTTCATAAAAATGCTTTCAGATGAAAAATTCCTTGAGGAATAATCCCAGTCCTGGCCAACATCTTCTCGATTCTTAAAACATAGTGAGGGAAATGAGTTGCAGAGACTTTCAGTGTGTATTTCCTACTGAAACCCTCTCTTGGAGAAGTTAGAGCTCTGGAATAATCAGGTGGATGGCAGGCCTATATAAAAATGACTCACTCCAACTATCTGACTGTGTACTCACTCTTAAATCCTTAAAGACTTCTTGATTGTTCACTAAAATCAAACCTGGCATAGATGAATGGATAGAGGGATGGATGGAGAGGTGGATGGATGGGTAGATGGATGGATGGACGGATGGACGGATAGATGACGGATGGATGGATGGTTGGATGGACGGAGAGATAGATAATGGCTGGGTGATGGATAGATGGATGGATGATGGATCAATGAAGAGATGGATAGATGGATGGGTGGATAAAAGAATAAAGAAAAAAAAAGAATAAAGAGATTGCTTTTTCCATTTTATTTCTCCTAAAAGGGAACCCAAGAAGTTGTTATCAATGGGCAACATTGGCAGAACTGGGAATTTGGGGGAGATTATGGGAGCTGTGAGGGGTTTTCACTTTTCATTCTGTACTTTTCTTTAATGTTTGCATTTCTTTGTTGTGTATGAATTATTATTATGTGGGTGGGGTTATCTGGTTGGTGGAATCACGAACGGGTTGTTTGTTTTCTTATGTATATATTTCAATATTTTTAATGACTGAACTTTGAGTGATGAACGCATCGGGGAGCCTCCTGATGTATGGTTTACACATTTTCACCTCATTTTTGCTAAATGTAGCAGACTCTCGCAGTTACTTCTTAATCTTCTCATATTTCTCATATCATTTCAAGCCGCCTCATATCCTTCGCTGAATGAGGCAGTAAAGAAATAAATATCTATGAAATATATAAAATGATATTGTCGGACCTCAGGCAAGGATACAGAATAAAGCAACATAAACGTTTTTACTTACCGTGCCCCCAGGCGGCCCCCCTACCTGAAAAGAGCAGTCATCCCTTTCTGACTGCACCCCGGACCACCAGGATTTCCACAGAGAGCTCAGCTGCTCTTTAGCTGTTCCCTGTTAGGCTGGGGCACCTCCATGTGTGTGGGAAGGGAGGGTGGGAGTCCTCCCACTCTGCGTTCAGCCACAGAGCCCCTCCTGCCTCCCAAGCTCCTTGCCCTCGACTTGTCCTGCCATGTCCACCTGTGTGCTTCCTGCCAAGTGGGCTGGAGACAGCAGCCAGGCTTCTGCAGCTGATCCCAGTCTACCCAGGGCCTGGGGCACGGTCTGCCACAGAGAGAAGTGCTCCATGGAGGAAGGAAGGGTGAGATTCAACAAGTACGGGTCTTCCTTCTCCTCTTCACGAATTGGAGCTGCCTGAGCTAGAAGTGGTCCCTCCTTTACTGAAATGCTCTTTTCTTCCATGAAATCGTAGTCAGAAAGACACTTCTTACCACCGCCTTCGGTAGCTGCCTCCTCCAATCTGGATCACAGAGCAACTGTTCAACCTGAGAAACCCCTTGAAAAGGCCGTGTTCTACTTCTGTTGCGGATGGGCACGCGTATCTGTATGGTAAAAGCTGGTTGATGCCCCGTCTCTGGACCATTCACCGACTGTGGGTCCGTGGTCATTCTGGGCCATTCGCCGACTGTGGCTGTGTGGTCGTGGATGCTGATTTTGCAGCTCCACTACACTTTGGTGGCCCTGCTCTGGAGGACTGCCCTCTGCAAGTCCCTCGTTATTTCTGATCTGGCTGGAAAGCTGCAGAACGGCCCTGGGCCACTGAGGGACGCCAGTTCTTGGCTCAGGATGCTGGCCAAGCTCAGCAGCCTCCCTGTGCCAAAAGGCCCCAGGAACTCCCTTCGCCTCCCTTCACACCTCACCAAACCTAAGACACTCTCCGGGTCCACTTTGTCACTTGGTCCCAAAGCAGCATGCATGCCTGGTCTCAGCCGGCCCAGCCCTGGAGATAGTGTCTGCGGCCTCCGGAGGGCCAGTAGACCTGCGGACAGCCTTCTCTCTCCACTTCCAGTCTCTCCTGCCTCGGCCTCAAGCCACGCCCCCAGACAGGGCCACACCCCTCGCAGGAGCAGTCCCTGGACTTCGAGTTGGGGGAGGTGGACAGACGGAGGCAGCAGCACTCTGCCAGGCTCCGGGTTGTCATTATAGCTACACGTGGAGCCACGATGCCCTGAGCCGGCCTGTAGCCAGTGGGGCTGGACCCTAGACACCCCGCACCCTGACGTGGGGTGGTGTATTCTCCCGAATGCGCGTCTCCCCAGGCAGATGCTGAGACGCCGGGGTGTGGGCACAGCACAGCCCCCCTGGGCAGGTCCAAACAACTGGCCGTTCACACAGAAACTCAGCCGTCTGCTCCGGGAGATACCTGAACTAGGAGCAGAAAGCGAAAGGCGTCCTCAGGGTGAAATGCATGTGCCTCTATCTGGGGAGACTGCAGGTTCTCACGGCCAGCCCACCCCCTGGCCACGGTCCTCGGTTCCGAGATTGCGCTCGGTGATCACCTGCTTTTACCTCCTACGTATGGAACTTGAAGTGCTAGCCTCTCCCTCAACAAGACCCTACTCAAAGGTTTTCTCTGGAAGGATGGCTTTAATGTCACAGCCAAGAGAAAACAAGAAGGAAGACTGAGCTCAGTTTTTGTCCCATCTCCAAGGGTGACACGGCTCAGTGTGGTCCCACCCCCAAGAGTGACACGGCTTCCTTGCTTCCCCCAAAATTGTGGATAGGGGCTCGGCACAGATGGAAGGGTCTTCTCTCTTCTGCTGGTGCCCTCGGGCGCCTCTGGCAGCAGTGGGGGGCCCAAAGTGGGGGCGGGGCTGATTCTCTGCACTGAGATCAGGGCCTGTGAACCCAGCACGAATTCTACTCACTGGGCTGTTGTTAGACAAAACCGCCCCCCCCCCCAAACCTTGCAGAAACCTGTGCGTCTTGCCTCATGCTCTTTTGAAGGTAAAGCTTCAAGCCAGCTAACCTCTGAATTTTTCATAGTATCTTTTGAAAATCAGTTAAAAACACGATTTCACTTATATGTGGGATTTAAGAAACACAACCGATGAACACGGGAAGGGGGAAGGAAACATAAGATAAAAACAGAGAGGGAGACAACTCATAAGAGACCCTTATATAACGAGAACAAACTGAGGGTTGCTGGAGGGGCGGGGATGGGCTAGATGGGTGACGGGCACTGAGGAGGGCACCTGTTGGCATGAGCCCTGGGTGTCGTATGGAAGTGATCAATCACTGTGTTCTGCTCCTGAAGCCAAGACTACACTGTATGTTAGCTAAATTGGGTTTAAATAAATAATTTTTTTTAAATCCCCTTAAAAATTGGTTTTGGTTGGGTTAGCCAAACTCTGATTTTAAATCCTACGTGGATTATGAATCTGCAGATAAGCACTGCAGACCCAAAGCTCTCAGGCACGTCTGGGGTTTTCGAGGGAGCTCCCGGGGCGGGTTAGAGGCACTGCTTACTCGCCCCGCAGCCTGGTGTCCAGAGTCACATGTTCCTGCTGCCCCGTGACACGTCAACAAACAGCACAAGCAGGGAAGTGTCTTTTCTTGCACACTCTGTGCCTCAAGTTCATTTCCTCTCAAAGCCCCATCTTGGAACCCTTGAACCCCATCACCCTAAATGCTTCCAGCCCTCTCCTCCGCGTGAGCTGGGCATCTCCCCAGAGGAGATGGGATCCCATGAGAAACTCAGGCTCTTCACTCAAAGTCAAGAACATGATCTAAACCACTGACGACAACTGCCCGGAAACAGAAGTGCGGGCCCCGATTGGTGGCTGCTCTGTGACAGCACGGCGCCCCCGCAGGTCCTGGAGTCTTGACCCCACCCGTGCCCTCTGCCTGCTGGGCTCCAGTCAAGACGACAAAGATGGCCAGCTTGGTAACACATGGCACCTACCACATGCCAGTCACAGCCCACTTCTCTCCGCAGGCTAACGCACCAGGTGTCCATCCCAACCACCGTGTGGCGGGGACCTTGATTATTACTCCCGTCAAAGGGGGAGAAGCTGAGTCAGGAGACGTGAAGAGGTTTGACCAAGGCCACACAGGGGTCAACTAGTAAAGTGAGTGGCTCAGGGGTACACCCTGGCAACCCCAACAGTAAGTCTCCAAACCCTACATCGCGCTCACTGAATAGCCCACCAGTAAACACCACACACAGTAAACAGATCTGTTCACATCAGGAGCCTGGGGGACACTGGACCAGCTCAGCTTCAGAGCCATGAGGGGCCTCTGCCCATTGGGACCTGTCCACACCCTCTTATTTCCCTGCTGAGCAGCAGCCGTCCCCCTCAGAGCCCTTCTCCCAGGGAAATGTGTGCTCACGCAGCTCTCATCCACTGGAAATCCGCTGCCATGGTCCACAGTTCAGAACTTAGAGCGTGGTTGCGTCACTGGGTGTCATTCTAGAGGCCACCTCTGCCTCGTTTGCTCCTGCGGCAGACCCTCCAGGGCAGCTCAGCCAGGGGTTCTAAACATGCCACCTTTCGTGGGAAGGACGCGTGCAGACAAGGCTATGAGCACGAGGCAGCGTCCTGGTGAATGTCCGTGGACTGTTCCCTGGCTCTGCCAAGCAGAGCCGTGAAAACGGCAGCGCCCTGTCTACAGTAAACTCACACATCCGTGGCACCAGGGCCGTGCACCACACACTCCTACACGCGTGACCGGTCAGAAGGCACCAGCAGAAAAGACCGTCCTGCAGTAAAGCGGGAAGGGGGGCATGGCTTTGGCGCCCTCAGGTCTGAACGTGCCCTGCTGTCCACATGCTGAGATATACACGGAACGTTAGGAGCTTGTTGTGTTCTGTCCAAATCACCTTTATTTCAAGTCCCCAAACCTTCTGGCTCTCTGGATCCTCCTCCTACTGGAGAATGTGTACACAGTTCCGGAAAGTTCTGCGAGGCCTCCGTAGGGTTTGGCTTGGGGAGGGGACTGTCAGTTCACCTGCCTGGTTTGGGTTCTGTGACAGCCAGGCCTGCCTCACCGTCAGTTACCTGAGGGGCTCCCCGGGGGTCCCCAGACCAGCACTGTCAGGGAGAAATGCAATTGAACAGATGGGAGTTTAAATATTCTAACAGCCGCATTTGAAGCAAAAAGTAAACAGAAATAAGGAAAATTAGATTTAATCATATACTTTGCTTCATCCAGTATCTGAAAAATACATTCTTTCAACCCATCAATCATGTTCCCTGGTATTTACCAAAATGACTTAAAAACTACATCCACGCAGAAACCTGCACAGAGATGTTTAGAGCAGCTTTACTCATCATCACCGAAATTTGGGAGCAGCCAGGATGGATGATAGACTGTGGTCCCCCCGACAATGGGGTGTCATTCGGCACTAAAAACGCAGGGGCGGTCGAGCCCCATAAAGATGCGGAGGAACCTTGAACGCATATGGCTAAGTGAGAGAGGCCAATCTGAAAAGGCTGCACCCAGTGACTCCAGCTACACGACATTCCGGAAAAGACAAAACTGTGGAAACGATAAAAGATCAGTGGTTGCCAGGGGGTGGGGGGATGCACAGCAGAGCAGAGAGGGCTTCCAGGGTGGTGAGGCCACGCAGTGGGACGCTGTCATGAGAGACACACGTCATTACACGTTTGTCCAAACCCACAGAGTGCGCAACACCAGGGGTGAGCCCTGATGCACACCTTGGACTCTGGGCGATCAGTTGTGACGATGTCCCACCCCGCTGGGGATGTGGACGCGGGGAGCAGGGCGAGTGGGAAACCCCTGTTTCTTTCTCTCAGTTTAGCCACACACCTTAAACAGCTCCAAAATATGGTATATCCATTAAGATTTTTATTTTCACCGTAAGTCTTCAAAACCTGATATGTATTCTGCACTCACGGCCCTTAATTCCACGGGGTTTCAGGTCTCAGTGGCTGCCCCGGACCGGTGGCTCGCGCCCTCAGTGTTCTGAGGCCGGGCACCCAGGCAGCTACCTGCTAGGTGGAGCCCCGGGCAGGGGGACACAAGGAGAAGAACCACGGTTCGAGGCTCAGGAAGCTGTGCCTCCATCAGTATAGCAGACTCCTGGGCGTGACGTGTCTTCCTTGTGCCATGTTCATCCGGCTTGTAAATCGCAGCGTGTGATGGATGGGCCTTAAGGGGTTTCACCTCGTGGTCAGGCACACGCAGGTGTGTGCAAGCACCTTTTCCCAATTTTACCTTTTCTTCCTCGAACTCACCAGCAGGGAAGCCGCTTGAGTTTGGGTGCTCACAGCCACAGCACTTAGCAGGTGTTTCCTCCGCTTTATTTCACAGACTCGCGGCTGGGGCATTGGTGCCGTGCAGACAGACGTTCAGTGGGTGTTCGCCAAATTCCGTGGGTAACTATTCTTTTAGGAAAGGCCTGTGTTTTAGGGAAAGTATATAAATAGGTATCAGAAATTTTCTTACTTTGCCATATAATAAAGGTTGCAAAATAGATCTTTAGAAAAAAAACACCAATTTTAAAGCCTCGATTATTTTATGCGAGAACAGACTGTTCTGCATTGAAAACCCTTTTGTCGGGCATTTTCACTATCCACTAAACTGCTCAGTTGAAAATCCTGTTACTAGAGAGTAAGTCTAGTACCAAAATAGTCGGTTGGGGGGTGACAGGAAGGTGGGAAGGCCCACATCCCCAAAAGCCTGTCCTCCCTGGGCAGCTCAGTGGCCCTCGGGACGCTAACGCAGAAGGCAGAGCTACCTGGGTCCCAGACGGCGAGCAGGCCCACGCGAGTCCTTCCCACCAGCCACAGGCCGGCCGTGGCCACAGTCTCTGGACCCGCAGTGGGATGCGTAACACAGGGGACCGCGCAGGCCCCGGTCACCACACTCCTCCTCCTTCTCCATCAAATGGGTGAAGAGCTGCCTTTCCGCACAGAGTTCCGGAGGCTTCCCGAGGACATGCACGGGCACGAGCGCAGCACCTGGACACGGCAAACGCTCAGTAAACACTCTGGACCGCAGCCCGTGTCCCGCACTCTCCAGATCTCCCACGCAGGCCGAACAGGCCAGAGCAGGTCTGCAACAGTATTTACAGCGTGCACGAAAGAGCGGGTCGATTTCCAGGGGGCGGACGGAATAAATGAATGTGAAATGGGGCACCGGGGGCAAGTGTGGGAAGAACATGGGAGCCTGAGAATGAGGAGGAACACACAGCCAAGCAGAGCAAGAGGGCCTCGGCTCCATGGAGGCCAAGTGAGCGAAATGCCTGCTGGCGAACAGGTGGGCACTCCGCCAAGCTGTGTAATACAGAAGTGATTAATTGAGGCAGCCGGGAGAGGATTAGAACAGAGAGCTTTTGATATTGTGCAGTTGGGAGGGAAGGCCACAAGGAATTTTAAAGCATACGGGAAAAAAAAATAAAAAGGGAGGAAAAAGAGCTGAAAAAAAATTAGAGACTGGAGTACTGATTTTTTTTTTTTTTTAATGGGTTTGCTCTTTAATCCAGTGAAACAGGCAGCGCTCAGCTAATAACATGAATTTCTCCTTTGGTTAGTTGTCCTCGGGAAACAAATCCTTGTTCAGAAATCTAGACATCCCAGAGCCCAATAATGTGAAATGAAACTCAGGAAATACATCATGAAGTGATCGTGCTATGTGAGCTCTTGAAGACACTTTCAGATCCCTCCACGCGCACGTCCGTTGTGAAAATGTGGATTCTTGCACATCACATGTGAGAATCTGGGAGTGAGACGGGTAGACGCCTGACGTCCTCTGCCTGGTTGAGACCGCAATGTATAACAGTCAAGAAGGAGAGCCTGAAAGATTGAAGACAAGAGGGCCGTGTGTAACGACCTTTGTCAGCCCCCCTGCAAGAGTAGAGTGGGATCACCTAGAATTCGTGGCACGTTTTCTTCCCGAGAGCCTGAACTGCATACTGTCTCTAACTTACCGTCCCCGAGGTGACCACGCAGGGCATGTGGCACAAGGACACCCTTTGTCTGTAGGAATCGTGGAAGTTTGGCAGGGGGGTGGGGGGGGACGGGGGGCAGGGCAGATAGACATGAGTTGTCAAGCCCATTCCAGATCTGGAGGTTCTGGGGACCTGATGGGGTCCCCAGAACCTGAAGTGACATCTACACTCACTTCCTGACCTCCAGCCAGTGCTCCGTCCGCTGAACTTTGGACAGACCCAAGGAAGCAAAACACTTGAAAGTTGCCTCTTGTGGCCCTGGCCGTCTGTGGTGACCCAGCACTTAGAAAACAAGTCGTTTTGTACAGCTGCCTGCCCTCCCCGCCTGTGCGCCCGCAAGCCGTCCCGCCTCGGCAGCCCTGTGGGACCGCGTGCAGAGCGAGCCCCTTACCGCGTGGTACCTAGTACTGCACTATCGAACGGAAAGGAGTTCACACAAAGGACTCCCGTGAACCATGGAGTCTCTGCGTCACCGCTCACTCCACAATTTTGTATTGAGCCGCTCAAGGTCTGAGAATCTGTGCACAAAGTTGAACGCTCCTGTAGACATGGTGGGTGTTTATTAGAGTGTCTGTAACTATGTTCCTATCTTTCACTACTGCTTTTCACGGATGCCGTATTTAAAGATTTCCAAGTATCTGGGGCCATCAGAGATCCGAGACCTGACCCCAGTTTGTCTGCTAGCCAGTCTTGAGCCAGTCACGTTCCTGCAGATCTCAATTTCTCCCTCTGTAAAATGGGAATGTTAGACCAGCTGACTTCCGTGATTCCTTCCACGTCTGTTCCGTGAGCCTCTACGACTCACGCCTCCTCCGGCTACGGTCACTTCTGCCACGCACACACCGTCACTCTCGCACGGGTACAAGGGCGCATGCCCCACTGTGACGTCCCAGACGGAGTCTGATCCTTCCTGTACCTCGAGTGTCTGCAGCAGTGGCCACAACGAAGTGGCCCACGCGGACACTGGGCCGCCAGGGAAGGCGGGCGGGTGCTCAGAAGCCCGTGGGGCCCACGGACCTAGGTTCTGCTTTTGTCTTTGACAACCAAAGAGGCCTGGATGCTTGCACAGCTAAGAGATGCGCCCCCTACATGAACCCAATTTTCAGGAAATCCTAAAGGTTTCCCTTCTACCACTCTGGTCCCATAATTTCAAAGGGCAACTCTCCCATTGTGCCCATTTCTAAAGATGAGGAAACGGAGGCTCAGAGGCTGGACACAAGGCCCATCATAGCTGGACTGGAATCTGGGACTCCAGCTTGGATTGTATTCCATTGTCTACTTTTGCTGGCATCAACAAATGTTACGAGTTTTTCATTTTTTCCTGAGTTTCTTGGACTGCTTCACCAAGCTCTCAGGTCTGTGATCTTTGTAGATGTAGAACTCTCCAGAATCTGTCAAAATGTTGGCTTTGGAGCTATTCAAAGAATCCTGATTTTAGAGTCTATGCACTGATGTCTATTCCTGTTTCTGTCATGGGAAATGCATATATTTCAAAGACGTTTTTACAAGTGTCCACTATAAAATCTAAACCACAAAAGCACAGCAACAGAGTCACTGTGTCAGATGTTATTGAAATTCACATTGTTTCTTGGTGCTGCAGAGAGAAGTACTTCTGGAATGTGAATGTGACACGAACGGTCATCCCAAGCCAGGGACACCCACTCGGCCACACTGGCAGGAGGTGGGGACACGGGGCAGGCAAAGGGCATGCAGACCCTTAAAACGCTAAAGAACATGCTGTCACCAAAAAGACCAGAGCTAACGCGTGTTGGCGAAGACGTGGAGAAAAGGGAGCCCTCGTGCACTATTGGGAATAGAAACTGGTGTGGCCACTCGCGAAAACAGTATGGAATCCCTCAAAAATTAAAGACAGAAGTGCTGTACAACACAGTAGTCCCACTTCTGGGTATTTATCTGAAAGAAATGGACACAGGATCTCGAAGAGGCATCTGCACCCCCAGGTTGATAGCAGCGTTACTCACAATGTCCGGGACACGGAGACGGGCTCAGTGCCCACCGACAGGCAAATGGATGAAGAAGGTGTGGTGTGTACATCCATGGAATATTAATCAGCAGGAAGTTCCGCCATTTGCAATAACACGGATGGGCCCTGGGGACATTATCCTAAATGAGATCAATCAGATAGAGAAAGACAAATATTCTATAACTTCTTATTTGTGGCATCTAAAAAAAAACTGAACTCATAGAAACAGAGGATAGATTGCCAGAAGGGAGGGGGAGTGAAATGGTGAGGGTGGTCGAAAAGTACAAACTTGCAGTAATGAGATAAAATTTTTTAGAAATGTGTGTCGGGAAACAATACTGACAAAACAGCTGGATGTATGAGCTGTTGGTATCTTTCAGCCTAAAGTAAGGCACGTTCGCTTACAGAATTGGAACGAAACAGTCAAGTGTGGGGCCAGACCACCCAAAAGGAGTAACTGAAGATTGCCCACCACGCACAGGCAGGGCTGGGGCTGCACATTTCCCGCTAAGCATGCCTTCGTGGTCTTGCAAAGCCCCCGACCTCTGAGCGCCTCGGCATGCTGGTTTGGAAAACGCGAAGTGTGGGGGATTCTGCGCCTGAGGCCCGCACGAGCCTGCGGGAGGAGGAGCCGGCCGTGGGTTCCCACTGTCCGTCACTGCTCTGGGTTCACGTTCACCGTGGCGCACACGCACGACCGCGTGCCGGCCGTGCCTCTCTTCCCGCGACCACAGCGGTCGTTCTGCGCAGGAAAACAGCAACTTCCATGGCAAAACACGAATCCCTCAGTTGATATAATTCCAGATATGCTCCTTGCAAGTGGCACATGGTCAGGTGTCCAGCTGCAGCTCATCCCTCGAATGGGGACGGACGGCCCACGTGGGGTGAGCGTGTGCAGACCCAGCGTGAGGACGCTCTCTGAGGCAGGTGTCCAGAATCCCAGCACAGCACCTTCCGGGCAAGACGTCCACTGCCTTTCCCCGTCACAGCAAAAATGCTAAATTGTTTTTCCTGTTGGCATGAGTGTCTGAAGATGTGTCACCAGAAGAAGACCAATATTCAAAACGTGCTCCCTCCTCAGATTGGCCCGGGAAGTCGGAGTTTACAGCGTGTAACCTGCAGGCCCGTTTTCCCACGTGTGCACTGGGGGCCGTTTACTGGAGAAATCCGTAGCAGCTGCACGCGAAAGGTTACGCCGAACCACCCAGCCCACCGACTGGCAGGATGCACAGCTTCACCGTGGCCGCAGAATCCCACCCCGGCTCCCCTGCTGGTCCCCGCTGCAGGCCACCGTCAAGTGTGCGGGACGTACAGCCACTGCTACCCACAGGGAGACTGGCATCCTCTACGTGGAACATTCCGGAAGTTGTAGAAAGGCTAAGGTGCCCCTTCTACCTGAGAGTGTGGACAGCAGGGTGCATCCCCAGCCTGTGCTGCCTGAGCGAACCTTCCGGAAAGCCCTGCAGATCTATCTACATCGGGGGTGAGGGATGAAGAGGAGGAATCAGGGCGCCCCCCGCCCCGGGCGGCACCTGAGCTGACCCAGCGTGCCCCCCCCCCCCACGGCTGGGGGAATGGTTGCATCCAGCGTGGCCTCGCTGCCCATATGCCATTCAGCTCCTGTCTGCCTTTTTGTTTACACTGGGGACACAATGGGAGCTACAGTCCTTCCAATACATCATTTATAAGTGTATTCTACCTCTGAATGTACAGACAGAGCTTGCTGTGGGTGAATAAGCCCCTGTGAATATTGCCAAGACACTGTGCTTTGTTCAGCACTATTCTTCACAATAGATACCACACTTTGGAAGTAATTTTAAAAAGGGAATCAAAATAGTGGTACTTTTAGCCTTTGTTTCTTTTATACCACAGTGCATTCTCTGTCTCTCATTCAGCCGCTCCCATTATACTGACAAATTAAATAAACCACTCCATTGCAGAAAGGCTCGGCCAGGCAGGGGCTTCATCCATCCACTGCGGCCCTGGGAAGTGGAAAGAAACACTGAGGCGGTTTCTGCTACCAATTGCAGCTAACTTCTGTCGAGGAGCCAAAAAAAAAAAAAAAAAAAAATGGGGGGTAGGATTCAGAACTTGAGGGGGCTGGCAGCACCCAAGAGCTGGCCTCCGCGGCAGGTAATGTCCACGGCGGAGAGGGCCGCGGCTTCTAGAAGCGCTGAGAGTCCCTTCCTGCTGCGTGGGCCTGGGAACAGGAGCAGGTGAGTCACAGGAGGCGCCTGGGTGGCCGGAGCCCGCTGGCGAGGGGCAGGCCAGGGGCACCGCGGGGCAGAGTGCTCGCTGCTCCAGGAGGCCCAGAAGGTTCCCCCTCGCAAGCATCTCGGCTTTTCTCTCCTTTTCGCAAAGCGGAATTGATTCAGACGTTCGCTGACTGCTTCCTGCGGGGCGAGTGAATGGCTCCGGCACAGAAGGAGAAGCGCTCTCTCCGTCTTTCTCTCTCTCCCTCTCTCTGTCTCTCCCCGCGTCTGTGTCTCTGTCTCTCCTTCTCTCCCTTAAGCTCCGCCGTGACTTTTAGAAGCTTCTGGTCTGTGCAATCACAGATGTTTGAAATGCAGGCAAAGGAAGAGTGGGACATAGGACTTCTGAGGGAGGAACCGTGTCTGGTCTCTCCTGGTCCGAAGCTTCCTGGAGACATGAACGCCAACTTTGGAACATAATCCTCTAACTTTTGGCCTGAAACCATTTTTATTTTTTCAGGGGAACAAAAGAACAAAACCATTACTTTTCACTTGGGGAGAAAGCTCTTTTAAATTGCTAACTGGTTATTTTTGAAAAAAGACCAATGTCCTTTGAACCAGGATGCACACCGGCATTGCGGCTTCCGATCCTTCCCGAGGCTCTGTCTCTAAAAGTCGCTCCGGTTTGATCCGGCCGAGTGGGCGCTGCTGTTGTCAAAGTGTCCTTCGGCGTCTGTGCGGGGACCCCACGGTCCCCACACCCCTTCTGCTGCCACCCACTCAACAAAATGAGCGGGATCGGTGGGAAAGAGGGAGAGCGCTTGCTGTCAGAGGCGCTGATTTCCTTATGAAAACAGAGCGCCAGTAAATGCCAGTTCCAGGCGGCAGCTTTGAAGGCGCCAGCCCCCAGCCAGGATGACCTCATTGAAAATGCGCGCCGTCTCAGGCACGGAGTGGGGGACTCTGTGCTCCCACAGAGGCGTCCCCTGGCTTCGAAGTCAGAGGCCACTGCAGGCAAAGAGAAATATTGAGCCAAAAGAGTTTGAACAGAGCCATCGGGGTTCATCTTTTATTACCAAAGAAAGACTTGAAAAAGCCCAGGTGAAATTTCCTTCCATTGTCTAGGAAAATTCTCTGTAATTTGCCCCCAGGGAAATCCAAGCCCTGGCGGCCGGGGGCGGGGGGTGGGGGGGCCACCTCCTCTGTCCTTCTCTCTTCCTTTCTCGGGGTAAATGTCTCCGGGGTCCCTGGAGAACGGAGTGGGTGAGCGGGGGCTGAAGGTCAGGGTTGCCCACTGTGGCCTGACTTTTAAGCTAAAGAGGTTTTTCTTTCTCTTGTTGCCATGCCAGGTCTAATTTGGTGGCATTATGCTAACGGGGAAGGCCCGCTCCTGACAGGAGGGGTTCAATGAGATTACAAGCTTTGCAGTCTGTCGGCAGCTCCCGCTGCCCGGACCTTAAATGGGGATTTAATGGCCAGCTTTATCTGTAGCGTATCAGTGGAAATCTGCTGTTTTCAGCAACTTAATTGGCACTGTGTTTGCAGGAGTTTTTCGGGGAGGTGGGAGAGCTGACCAGATTTTAATGCTGAATTATTTAGAGATCACACTACCAGAATGTCAGTGGAAATCTGTGGTGCGTTTTGTTTTTCTGAAGCGCGGAGAGCTTCTGAACGGGCAAGATGCCGGATTCTGCTGTGACGCCCGAAACTTTCTAAAAATATTCAGAGGGTCTGACGTAGTTTATTTATAGATGGGATGCACAAGAGTAACAGTTGCTCTCGCAACATATGTGCGGTGTCTGACTTGCGGGGCGGTGAGAACGTGCGACAGACGGGCAGGGAGCTCTGCCCAAGCCGAGCGCGTGTCGGTCTTTCCAGAATTTTAGCAGATGGGATCCGTGTGTCCCTGGGGTGTGTTACAGGTGACTGAGGCAGTGCAGACCCACATCGGGGCAAGGGACCCGTGTGGGCGCGTGTGCACGTGCACCTGTGTGCAGGACAGAGCACAGGCTGTGTCCAGCGTGCTGGCTGGTCTGTGTGTCGGGCGCGAACGTAACGGAGAAAATGTTTTCCCGGCAGACACAGCAGCATTGTCTGTTCCCAGTTAGGGTCAGTCCGGAAAGTTCAGGATTAGTAAATTTAATATCCTGTCAAAATTCTCATGATAATGAATCCCGGCCGGTGGCTGGCACCGCGCTTCGCCACTGCGGCTGGCGGAGATAGCGCAGCTCATTTATGAGCGGGAGGTGCGGCGGCGCCGGGCCCGCTGTCCGCGCCGCGCTGCGGGGACCACACGGCCGGGGCCCCTCCGAGCTGCTCCGCCGCGAGCCCTGGCTTCCCCGGGACAGTCGGGAACCGCCTGGTAGGAAAACCTGCGCCCGACATGGTCTCTCCCGCCTGTTGTGGCGCCGCGCCAGCCGTGTCTTTAATCCAAAAGCAAGGGAGGAGGACGGACACCGAGACCCCGGCGCCGGGAGAGAGGAGAGCTGGCTGAGGACGGGCGGCTGCCGGGAGAGTCGATCGGCTCCTGGTAGCACGGCCTGGGCAGGTTTTAGGCTGCGGGGGTGAGGCAAGATGTCGTGTCCCCCAGCGAGGAGCGTGGAAACGAGAAAGTTCCTGTGCAATTTGTTCAAGGCTCTGCACCTCTGTAAGCAGCTGTCAGGTCCGTACATTATGGTACATTGAATCTGAATGAGGCTCTCAACATCAAAACCGTGCATCCATTATGATATCATCTCCCGCTCTGAGCCGTAATGCTTATTAATTCTGCACCCATACTCTCCCGGCTTCAGCAAATGTATTCCATCAGCCTAGCATTTAATTTAATTAGTACAGCTGGGCTCTCATTCTCCTCTCTGTGTCAGAGGTATTGTCAGCACGTTCTGCTATAACACAATTACTGATTGCTTTTAGATAGGCAGAAATATGATTAGGGTATTGGGTGGCTGTATCATAAGCCTTATTAGATTCATTTGAAATCTGGAGATAAATAGGAAACTTTTATTTGCAGTGTAATGAGATTATGCTTATTAGGCCGAGACCTCACAGCCTTTTGCAAAGAACAGTGTATCAGTAGGATTATACTCTGGGAGCACACTCTTTGCTCCCAGGATCCGAGCCGAGCCGTTTCTGAGCGCCTCCAAGAATTCGCTGTTGTCACACTGTATACGTTTTAGGATTATGGCCAGCTTGGCATCGTCTCCGCGATGAAGGGCACGGATATATATCCCTTTTCCTTCTCAAAGTCTGATGGAATACACATACCTCTCCAGATGGGATTTTATTTTATGAGAAGTGTTTTGAAAAATCAGTGCACGGGCTAAAAGAAATTATACTTTTAAACGTATTTATTTGGTTTTAAAGATGTTTGCATTTATTAGATGTCGCTTACAGAGATTGGCATATAATGAACGTCGTAAAAATCCCTAGTGCTCAATCTCTAAAACATTTATCACCACTGTTATTGTTTTGATAACAGCTTAGTACAATTCCAGAAACGTTTATTTTTTTCTTTGGTACTTATTTGATAATCTCAAGTTTCTAATATCCGCAGGAACTTTCTCCTATCTGGAACAAATCACTTCTGAGTGGGGTGGAATGATCACGAAAGGGTTCGTATGATTTCAGGAAATCTGTTGAAAAAGAAAGAATTCAAGATGGCAATATATTCAACTGCGCTAAAATTTGTCAGATGTTCTTACTGGCTGTAAAATAAAGTACTTTTGCGAACCCCAGGAAAATGATGACGATTTTTCCTGGGTATACAAGTTTGGGAACGGTATATGTGAATTTTGCCTTAGGAAAATCCAAGGTGTAAAATCAAACTTGGCAACTTCACGCAGTGTTTTCAAACTGAGTTATCTCCTGTACCCCTCCCAGCACCCGCCCACTCCCTTTCCACCAGATAATTCATAACATTACTTGATTTAAATAAACCCAGGTAGGCAGTTTTCATAATTCGTTCATTGCATGAGACGTGCACATACGATGAAGGTTCTTTGGTGTTAATTTCCACAGAACAAGAAGCATTTATTGCTTAGTAAAGGACGTGGCCAGATCAAGATACGTGAGGAGGAAAACGTGGGAGTCTCACGGAATGAAAGCTAAAGAGAGATGGGGCTCCGGGGCGGGGAAAAAGGGAGGGTCCTTGCTAAATGGGCACAGAGTTTCTACCTGGGGGATGGAAAGTTCTGGAAATGGTGGTGGTGATCGTGCAAGATTGGGCATGTAATTCATGCCACTGAATTATACACATAAAAACATTTAAGGTGGCGCATTTTTTATGTTGTATGTATTTTACTGTAACGAAAGGAAAAGGAAAGGAAGGGGGGGAGGTGTGCACCGTGAGCGCGAGCCACAGGTTAAGAGGTCCGTGACTCCCTACTTTGGCTGGTGGATTTGCCAATGACAATGAATTTTAAGTTCTCATTAAGTGAGATGTGTGTTCCTGCAAAGCTCAATTTGATCATTTCCTGCCAAATGAAGTATAAGAAACCGTAGCGAAGACATTCACTCTTTGTCCCTCCCCAAAGGTCTCGCTCAGCCTTGGTAAGAATTGTGGGTGGCAACGTTCGTATCCAGAACTAAAATCGGCCGACTCTGTTCAAGGATTAATAATCCAGAGAGGGACTGAACGAATAAGGAATGAAGAGACATCCAAAAAAGTGACATCTTTTTCCCAATGGCACTGAGGAGAAGGTGGCCAAGAGCCTTGTTCTCCGCGGCCATCTTTTTTTTTTTTTTTTAGCTTTATTGAGGTATAATTGACAAGATCGTAAGACATTTAAAATGTCCATCGTGCTGGCGATGTAGTATACATTGTGAAACGATCCCCCCCAACAGCCAGCTGTCACATCTGTGACCTCACTTCGTTACCTTTTTTGATAATGTGAGAATGCACAAGTCCACAAATGTCAATGATACATCGGTGTCATCCAGGAGTCACCATGTTTTACATACACAACCTGCCGTATTCATCGCGTCCTGAAAGTCTGTGCCCTTTGACCAACCTCTGCTACCCCCACGGCCATGTTGAGCGGGGAGAACTGGAGGGGAGGCAGGGTGAGGAAGGAGGGAGAGTGGGCGTGGCCCCCAAAGGCAGCAGAAGCCCAAGGAGACCTGTAAACCCACCTCACCTCAACCCGCACACCCCAGCCTCCCCATTCCTTCAGCAGACAATCGGACACAGCTCCACAGAGCGCTCGCGTTGCCCCAGCGCCGTCTTGGTGCTGTTGGCAAGTGCTGCTGGTGTTTGTGATTTAACTAAATATTGTTTGGGCTGCTGAAGTATGAGTGCAAAAAATATATAAAGACTTGGTTTTTCTATGAAAACAAAATAGAGTATTTTGGAAAGACTATGTAAGAGCAAGCTTTTTTTTTTTTAATTTTATTTATTTTGAGAGAGAGAGACAGAGTGTGAGCAGCAGAGAGAGAGGGAGACACAAAATCTAAAGCAGGCTCCAGGCTCTGAGCTGTCAGGACAGAGCCGGACGCTGGGCTAGAACCCATGAACCAAGAGATCATGATGGGAGCCCAAATCAAGAGTTGGACACTTAACTGACGATGCCACCCAGATGCCTATTTTTAAAAATATAGACTCACCCATGGGCAAGACCAGAGTCAGCTGCTAGGGAAAATCGTGGAAACCTAGGATCCTACATTCAGAATGCTGCACACACAAGCGGTTTTGATTGTTTCAGTGTGAAGAAACGTGGAAGGTGCACTATGGGTAGAAGTTGCGTGGGAAACAGGACTCTGAAGCCACGGCGCAGCCCTGGCCCTGCGTTGAAACACGTGTCTGCCGTCTGTTCCAGGCTCCGGGCACAGACAGACCTGTGTCCAGACTCCCCTACTCTAAGGCTCACGCGCCAGCCTTGAGAGCCTCCTCGTGGGGAGTCAGGAGGAGGACACAGGGTGGCCACGCTGGGGCCCCGCCTGCACTTCCAAATGCAGGGAATTCTCCAGTGTTCTGCGCAGGTTCCTGGAGATTGCAGTTGGGGTGGAACCAGCAGGTCCCAGTGAATAAATGTCGAGCAGAAGCACATCAGCAGATGCAGTGGGTGTGGTCTGGGGATGGACACAAGGCAGGGACCAGCATGGAAGGGTGGAATGGGGAGAAGCATCCAGAGCCGGCAGCTGGGGACCCTCCGGCACTCTCCAAGGAAGGCTTAGGTATTCATCTGGAGAAGTCTCATTCAACCCATTTACCCATCACATGGACCCCTGTTCTCAGAAGTGAGGCTGCCCGGGGAAGCAGGTGTGCGCTGCAGGGCAGGTGGGAGGGGCTGGCCTGGGTCTTGGCCCCGAGCTGCCCACTGGGGCAGCGTCCTAGAGCACTGGTCCTCCCCTGCAGAGCACAAGGCCTGAATCTGACCTCTGCATGGCCCTTCCCACACCGGAGTCTGGTGCTCTGCGGCCTCATACACCTCTTTCCTGGCCAGGGAAGAAATGAAAGTCTCTTACTTGGGTGTTTCTGCCACTCAGTGGGCCTCCACCTCTGTTGCCGGGACCAGATTATTCTCTTAAGTCTCTCTGTCTTCTCTGTGTATTTCAGCCACTGGGAAAACAGGACACAACCACGGCTTTGTTCCAGGAGTAGTGTGAGGGTTTAATAGCAGCACTGAGCAGCACACATGCTTCATACAGACTTCCACAATACATGTGACATATGACACTTACACACGCGTGTGCACACACACACGCGCACTATCTCTGACACAGCCACCCAGCATGGTTGAACCACTCGGCCCTCAACCTGCCACGGCACTGTCGCCCGGCGATTCCTGCTGTCACGCGACATAACTGACGAGGAAGAAACAGGTCTCCAAACTACGTCTTTGTATTCAGATGCACTGTGAGCTTACTGAGCCCTTTACCTCTAATCTAACCCAGCCAAGCTAACCTGTTATCCACACAGCACAGGTTTTCTTCTCTGTTTTGACCAAACACAAAAGGTTTGAAAACAGAAAAAAATAAGTAAGGTGGGTGAGAGCAGGTGTTAGTTTCCTGGGGCGACAGTGGCAAA